AAAATTGATGAAAATAAAGTCAATCGATTTTTGATCAAAATGCATGGACTATATCACACCTGCAAAATGCCCGAAAGTCATCTACATTGCGTTTCCTTTGATTAGTTGTGCCTCTTTTATTAGCGTTATAGGAGGTAGAATATTGGCTTACGTACCTTGGATATGGTCATGCGTAGAAAGTTTCATATTCAATTGAGGATTGACAGCACAAAAGGGAGATAAAGAATTAAGGCCCTTTTGATTCACCGAGTGAGTTAAGGTCTGGATATATCCGCCAAAGCCAACTCATTTGGTGCTGTACTCTCTCAATTGATTATGAATTTAGTACACAAGAAACAGAATGAAATGTCACTGGAACGAAATAAAGAATATTGGATATGGTGAAATGCGGGCTTTAATCAATATCAGTCTGTAATTGTAGATACGTTGCGCGCGAGTTTGGTTCGAAAGGCCTTGTTATTGCAATCATAAGACCAAGCATAAACCAAAGATAAAGGATCAAACAAGGAAGATAGCTATTCGTTTGTTTATTTAAGACCCACAATCTGTTTTTTGTTTTGTTTTTGTTTATTTGTTTGTCTTTAMATGTGCTTACATAATAGGAAAATTCTAATCTTGAGTCAGTCTATTAAGGATAACTTGGACCGAGGTCATGCTGTGCCGATTGGGATTCGCCGTGTCTCTGAAAAACATTTCTGGTGATTTCAGCTAGACAGCTAGACTCTCAAGCTTGCATGTTGATCATTTTTTAGAGTGTTTTTCTTAGGATAACGCATTTAATAAGTTTGTGGACTAAAATCTGGAAACAATTTACAATGACCCCTGTCGTCAAATATGGATAAGCCTCCAACCGCTAAACAAATGTTAATCATCTTATTATGATCGCCTTATTGACCCAACTTTATTAGGACAAAACGCTTMAACCACGCAAATGTTAAACATTTATTGTGCGGCACAGAGATTGAACGAAACGGAACAATGCGATTAAAACACTGATTTTGATACCAATCTTGATTCATGAACAGCTGCAACCAATTTCACAGGAACAAGATGGAAGAATTATCTTTTTGCAACAGGGACAGTATAGTTACGCATTGTTTTGTCAGAATAATGAAGTTTTAACTTTTCACTACATGTTAGCATGACGGAGCACCGTTCATTGTTTCCAAGTAAAGTAAAAAAAATCCGTRAAAGATAGAGTGAATTCATTAAAGCCGTGAAACGAAATYTGRCTATTAAATTGTGATATTCAAATAGACATAAAAGAAAAAATTGAAATTATATCTCACTAAGGTGTATCAGTGTATTACTATTTTACGGTCTTTTGTATTTGACTTTATCATACACTAATATACCTTGGTATGGCTATAATARTATTGTTTTCTTTTGCGTCTCTTTGACTGTCACACTTTAAAAGTCAGGTTTTCATTTCATTTTAAGGACTTCACTCAGTGTTGTATGCCGAATCTCATATGAGYTCAATATAACTATGATAGCTATAATGTTAAGTTAAATTTCATTATAAGCATAAYAAACAATGTTTTAAATAATTTCTCTTTTTGATAATATACAATGTACTTTGCAATTGAGGCACAATTTCAACGTAGAATATCGACRACAACCTTGGGCAGCATAAAATACCTCTCAGCTTGGTTTAAAATARCATTAGTAAGCCTGTTTTAGTTTTGGTTATTGCGGTTTTCATCTGTAAGGACTTTAAGATCACATTCTCGGTCCGAAMGATTGCTTGTTTTCCGGTATGCTTGCYGAGGGTCTGTAGCAGGTGCTTTCAAAGCTGGCTGTAGTAGAATTGCAGCGTTGTTGCGAGAGCCGCTGATAGAGGGGTTTGCATCAGGCGAAACACGAGCACCYCGACCAAACCAAAGGAAAAGCCTATAGAAAGCAATACGCATTTCCCTGTCACGAAARGCGTAAATCAAAGGATTAAAAGCGCTCTGACTGTACTGAAACCACTTGATCAGTTCCATTAGTAGCAATTGTGTCCCTACAGAGGGAAGACAAGTATTAAGGCAAAACATTGCAAGTAGACTGACAACGAGAAACGGAATCCAAGATGCGTAGAAAAGGACTGTAACTAACACCAGCGTTAACGCTGTCTTGTATTCTTTACGTAGTGAGCTTCTTGTATTAAACTGTGGGCTGTTTTCGGCCTGTTCGTGACGTGCAGGTCGACTGCGGGTCAAGTTTCTGATAATAGCRTAAATGACAACGTTCATCGCTGTAATCATAACAAGGGGAGCCACAAAAAACACGAAAATAAAAGACAATGTGTAGATGGTCAGGTAAGGAGTGCCCTGGTAGTTTGGGTATAACTTAGCCAATGGGTAAACACCAGAAAGAACTAACGAAATACTCCATACCGTAATAATCGATACGATATATACTTGCGGTCGAAGAGTGGTATACACAAACGGTCTTGATATAGCGATAAAACGTTCAACGCTTATGACGGTCAGATGCAAGGTCGACGCAAGAGCAGTAAAGATGTCGAATGATAAGTAAAACACTTCCAAAGCTTTACTAATCTTCCATTTCTTGATCGTGGCGGTATAGATCCATAAAGGTAGAGTTACTGCACCAACCAGAGCATCAGCAACTGCCAAGCTCACTATCAAGAGGTATGTCACTGTTCTAACTCGGGAATTAAAGTGATATGACACAATAACGAGGCCATTGCCTACAAGTATWAGTACGATTAAAAATACCGAAAATGCAATCCTGAAATGTCCTCCGACATCCATCAAAAGCCACCAAGCAAGTGCACACGAAGTAAGAAAGAGTCAAAGAGTCACCATTAGTCAGCCAGTCTWGCTAGATTCGGTTTCGTTGGCCTATCGAGTTTATATCTTGGTGAGGTAACGCTACGWACAACAGTGTGTCATCAGCCTGGCTTGAAATGAGAATTATCGATGTCGCGCGGTGTCGTCGCCAGGAGCGATCCCATTGGGTATCGTTTTTCACAGCCAAGAAAAAAAATTAAAAATAACACAAGTGSTCGTGTCAAAACGCTCTAATTATACGCTATTTCCTGTTTAAAATTGTAATGAAATTCTCCACTGRCTGCATCRAGTATTTGATAAATCCACTTCATTCTGTGTCAATCCATGTCTGTGAGACAAGGCTTTTGAAGAAGTAACCTGACACCTTCGTCATGTGAATGGATAAAACAAAACGAAAAAATCGTTAACTTCAGGAAACCCAAAGCCATTAATCAGAAAATATATTAAGAGAGTGTCACTATAGTGGAACATTTTCAAGATTTCGTTTACAAGGAAGTCATACACTCACGATAGGAATATAATAATCATCTTAGAGAAAAAATCAAATAAATGCCAGAAAAAAAGACTCCTAAAAACGACAATTCTAATGGCTAGAGGCAAATCCTCTCATTTCCGACTTTTAAAGAGATAAATACTACGAAACTAGCTTAATCTTTTCCCTTTTTGCTATGGATTCAAACAATATATGAAGTAAAACKTGGATTACAGGGTTTGCGTTAGTAATTAATCTTAGAATTCGCAAGTTTGTGCCGGAGTTAAAACTGATTAGTGTTTTTTTTTAAGGGCCGATATCAAGCAACCGTGGAATGGGGAATATAATGACATGGGAAATGGCCTCTTTAATCAGATCTTGCTAATTAACATTTCTTGTATCATCCGACTGCGACTCTGAGCAAAACTGTTTACTTAACAATAAMCTGACTATATTGAGTTGAATATATATAATATTGATTTTTTTATCAGAAATATTAGAAAAGTARTTCATTGCTTTTACAGATTTACCAATGAAAAGCGTGATTTCATCGTCTTTGGAGGGATTATATTAACCTATGAGATCTAGAGACGAAGTCTTATCTTTGATCAATTGATCCTATTTTCTGCTGCCACAAAACCTTTTTTAGAGTATAAAGTTTCCTTTTTAGAATTGCTTCGTTTGTTTTGTCATAATAGCTTTTTTCGTCAATATTGACGCATGTTTGTAAGGCGCAATTGTCGGARCCTTCAAATGTCATTGAAGAAGATTGCTGGGTTCCTATTGGATACGATATATTACTTTCTAGAAAAACAGCGTTCACCGGCTGGAGTGATAATGTCACAGCGTGGATGTTTTTATTTAACACACAYCAAARAGGAACTAGAGCACGTTCTTAGTGTTCTCACAGGGACTTATCGTCTACAGTTGGTCAATTTTACAATCACAACTGTTGTCTATATATCTCACTATTATCCATTAGAAAAGGACAAGGAAACATTAGTATTTTCCTTTGAACTACATCATTTTAGTAGATCCATTTGTTAGAAATAAGCCTGTAAAAAGGCGGGATGTTTGGGTTTGCTGACGCCTTATGCACGTAAGTTTGCCCCGGTCGYGCTGATTCCGAAGATAAGTTTATCTCATAAATGAAACTATATGATTTGTGCAAATAAACAATGAATGATATGAATAATAAAATAATGAATCATCATGGAGTGAACGTGATTTAGGTTTTGAGTTGATGGATTGATATTGAGGGACTCCATGACGACAGCGAATCATGCAGCAAACTCAAAACGGAACTCGGAACAAACAAACCGAGGAACGATCGCCAATCATACGARCGAATAAAAGAACGAAAGATCGCACGCACGAACGAAATATTAATAAGAAAAGAATRAATGAATGAATAAATACAATGACCAATATACTATATTGAAGTGACTCCTGGCAAAACACTGAACGAGATTGACACACGRCATAATGAACAAATGGCTCAAAACAAACAAACGCGATATTCTTAACAGACAGCTAATTCATAACATTGACTTTAAAGTGAAGTCATACAAGATGTGTAAATACATGACGCAATTGTATGTGGAAAGAAGCTGAGAGGATTTACTGACTTGTTGAGACGCAAGGAGCAGGTGGGATAAGTTATGCATATACTGAAATATTATAGTACTTTTAAAGCAATGGTTTAGAAGTAATAACCTTTGAGATAAAAAGCCGTGACGTAACTTGTAGATTGAYTTACAACTCTGTTGAATATAGAACGTTTTGGCCTAGAACTAGMCTCTTCCCCAGTCTCCTGTTCGGCTTGTTTACGAGGATCGGTTCCAGCCTTTCTCGACAATGTCTACATAAAGAATTCCCGGRAGGAGCTCAGAAAAGAAGTTGAATCGTTTTTAAAAATCGTATTTGAGGTCTATGTAGTAGACACTGAGCGAGGATGAGAGGAAGTCTATAAAATTATACGGTTAGTCACTCCAATTTGCCATGATAAAAATTGGTTGCGGGGTCGAGTTTTCCTTCGTAAAAAAGAGAGAAAGATTAATAAAGTGTAGACGCTAAAGTGTTTATGAAAACAACTCCACCTGGTTCTAAAAGCAACCCCATACCGCGTGGTAACGTTTTTTTTACTGTTATCGGCTGCATAGCTATCAATCTAACTTTAAGATCTATATGCTATATCAATATCGAGTGCTTATCAGAATTATCAGATATTATATTTATAGTAGCAGTGTTTTGATTAGGAAGACTAGCCAGTATATTCCTGATAAATGCCCAAGGTTGACTCGACTATTTGACAGATACCATAAGCATTGAGACAAGACTTACTGCAACGGGGTGTACAGGGGCCTAATGAGAGCCAGACAGGTAGGAGGGGGGGGGGGGGTTTGTTCGTGGGGAGAGGATCCAGTTTTTTGTTTTTTTTTTGTTTTTGTTTGTTTTTGCGGTTTCCGAAAACTGCGAAAAAGACAAAAATGTAGTACTATTATTTTGGATTCCCTCCGAACAACAAACTTTTGGACTTTCTGAAAATGTGTTACTATATTGATKTGGTAACGAAAGTCTCATATTTTAATATTTCGCCAAGGAATGACGTACCCCTCTCCCCCCTCCTTTCCTTTTTYGTATCAACTCAATATATATTGAAAGCCGTTTTGATCTTGGGCTTCMTGCGTGGTTAGGACACAGGAAGCCCRCTGTGCTACTACATCATGAGCCCGAACATTTCTACAGCTCATTCATGGCGCGGAGAATGTGCGTTTACATTGAGCGCGTGCGTACGAGMCAAATGATTTGATTTTCATTTTTGGACAATTTTCTTTTTCTTTTGTTTTCAGAACTGGAAACAGCATTTTTCCGTATTCATTTTAAACTTTGAGTTTTAAAGTTGCTTTCACATTTTTCCTTTACACGAAATTATTGTAAACTGAGTGATGACTGATTCAGTTTTTTTTTCTCATGCAGTTTAGGCATATTCACATGAAGAGACCGTAAGCATCCGGTTATTTTCGTTAACAAAATGATGATCTTTTCTTGTAAACTCGGCGGCTACAAAAATATCAACGTTTAGGTGAAACCTAGTCTTTTTTTATAATGCACCGACAGACTGCTATTCTTCTGGCGGAAATTCATTGACAATTCAATAATAAAGTCTATATAGCGTCCTTGGTTTTCATAAAAACGAGACAGACAWACAGCCAAGATTTTTCCGTTCACTTGAATAAATTTGAATGCATTAGTTTACTAAAAGCAAAGTGCTGTTCAAGGAGAAGTTCTTTCTTTTACCTGTTAAATTACCTTC